TTGGTCAGGGCTTATAAGCCCTTCAGGGCAGGAGGCGGAGGAGAGCTGAGAGAGAGATAGGGGGAGGCAGTAGGAGGAGGAGGAGAGAGAGAGAGAGAGAGACAGAACGAGAGACCGGAGGCTCAGGAGAGAAGTCTGACGTGGAGGAGAGACCTGAAAATCCCGTCCTATGACGAGCTAATTGGCTAGTTTCATATAAACATATGAAGATCAAAGGCTGTAAAATCAACCACAATACTACTATGAATGGTATAGTGTCCTTATCAAAAATCCAATGCAGGTTGCTATGTTCTGTTCTTTCCTTTAGCTAATATTATGAAAAAGTAAATTTCCTCTTTACAGATCTTTCTGCAAATAAATTTTATTCTAAAAGTGGAAATAGTGTAAATTTGTGTGATTACTCTTTAAGCTTCTTAGAAGATTCTACAAATAATGAAGGCGAAAATTAATCAAAATTACATCAGCTATTTTGTGTTCTTTTAAAATTAGGATAAACTGAGTCATTTCAGCTACTAAGGCACTTTGTGAAAAATTGCTTAAGCCTGGAAGAGGGCTTAGACTCCCCTCCCTCCCTCCCCCCATCCTCCAAATGCCAGCATACAGAGGGTTGTTGAGTCCACATGGATCCCAATTGCCAGCTTGGGTGGAGGGGACTTAATCCTTATTGAACTAGCAGCAGCTTACTCTGATCCTGACAGTGACAGTCGGTAGAATTGCAGTTGTCTTATTTGTGCAGATTTTGTCTGATCGAATGCATTACCAAATTAAAGATGATTATTTATAGCAGGCAGTGTAGGCAAAAAGGGATTGCTTCAGAGCCTGATTACCAGGATAACTTGTAATTACAGGGTTTTTTATTATTATTTGTGCACTGTATGTGTTCCTAGTCAAAATCAAGCCTTATTATTGATATTAATGAAGCCCTGAACACCTTAGTATCCCAGTACAAATGAAAATTAGTTAAATAAGTGTATATGGGCCCTGGAGGTTGGAAGGAATCTCTTCTTTATTGTGTCTGAAAAATGGTCTGACAGATTGTGTGTGGAGGGGGGGTGTTTATTTGTGTGTGGCTTTAGGTTTGATTTTTTGGGTTTGGTGGGGTTTGTTTTAGGTAAAGGGGGGTTTGGCAAAGGAGAATCATCTCGCAACAGATGTGTATTCAGTAGGGATATATTGATTCTAGAGATGGGTTTTAAGACAAAAGTAACTTTACAGCTGGAGAGGGGGTTTTCCAGGGAATTGGGCAATTATAAAAATAACAAAAAAATGTCAACTATGTTTATTGTTTGTAGACTAACTAGATGACACCACAGCTGGTTGCCTGGCTTACAACATTTGCAAAATATTGTTCCACAATTGTAATAGGAAGTTAAATCTTATCAGTAATTGAATGCTTTCAAGGGAAGCTTTGATATGTTTATTTTTGTCTATGGGCAGTGGAAAGAGGTCCACTCAGAAGTGTGTAAATTGTTTTGTTTTTTTGCAAAGGTATTCTTTGCTACATCCAGTTCCTTTGGCCATGAGACTGATTTGAGAGTGTGAAGAGTTTCTAGTACTCTAAGCTGAGGATAACTTCCCTAGAGAGCTTTGCTAGTTTATGTATAGATTAACATTGGTATTTGCTTTGGAGTAGTGTTGGGTTCTTTGCTTTGCCCCATATTTGCAGTTTATAACATTTTCTTGAATTCAGCACATTGCTAGTTACTTATTTTCAAATCTTTTTATCCAAAGGCAATTGCCCATTTCTTGCGGCTACTTTTTATTTTTAAAGTATATTTTGTGCCTGGGAAGAGAACCAGATTGGTACCAGTTGAGACCAAAGTCTACTATTTTTTCACAGAGCAAGTGCAGTATAAGCAACATAAGGGAAACTTCCCACTTTGCTGGACAGACTACTGTTATAAATGTTTTAGGTTATATATCAGTTTTTTCCTTAGCCTTTTCCCCAAGATTTCCAACAGCTGTAGTGTTTAGTGCCCATTGTGATGGTAGATTTTGGGACCCTGGATAACTGGTTTCAGACTGCAAACCCATTCACACAGGCCCCAAAACACCACCGCTGATAATGTCTTTTACCAATAGTGTCTTGCTGTGAAATCGAACAAGTGTCATAGAAGTGAAAAGCTTTGTGTCCTTTTCCATGTCCTCTGAGTCAGCCCACTTTCTGAAGAGCATTAAACAGCATTGGCTCTGGGCTTTAAATGTCTGAGACTATATACTGTAGTGATTTTTGTAATATCTTCACCATAGGATGATAAGTGGTTTGGTAAACCTGGGTTCAAAAAGCCAGGGCTGTATATTTATAAATAGAAAATAAAGCATATACTGTAGCAGTGCACTGATTAATATTGCGACCAGAATCAAAAGATATTCCATATAGGTTTCTATCCATATTTAGACCCTCATCTGTGTGTTTCCTTATGGGTATTGGCAAAAGAATGTACTTCCCTAATGAGCCCTTTAAAACAAAATACTTGCAAGGGGAGTGTCTAGATAGAACAGGTGTGATCATAGTCCTAAAACCTGTCCTCCTCCTTCTGCCACAAAAGTATGGACAAATATGGTAACCTTGAAAATGTTAAGGCAAAGCTTTCTGTATCTCCAGCAAAGAAAGAGACGCCAGAGTTGAAGTTCCATGTTATCTCTCTCTATATATACAAAAAAAAAATTCCTGGGGGACGACAAAGTGACGTCATCACGTCACTCTGCGTCCACAGGAGCCAAGCTACACCCACTCCCATCCTGGCCTTCCCCGGAGCCCATGTGGAGAACTGGGGCTGCCTGTCACCCAAGCCCAGACCTTCCCAACAGCTGTGGGTGGGGAGACCAGGACTGGCGCAGCCTCAGCCCATCTCCCTCCCCCCCAGCGGCCAGGGGGAGAACCGGAACCAGCGTAGCCTCAGCCTGGCCCCCCACAGCAGCCGGGGGAGGGGAAAGAGACCAGGGTTGGTATGGCCTCAGCCCATGCCCCCCACCTTCTGGTGACCAGAGGGGAGAGCCAGGACTGGCGCAGCCTCAGCTCTGGGCCCTCCCCAGCGGCCTGGGGGGGGGGGGAGGAAGAACTGGGGCTGGGGCAGCCTTGGCCCTCCCTGGCAGCTGGGGAAGGAGAACTGGAGCTGCCATGCTGCAGCCTCAGCCCAGCCCTTCCAGGGGCGGAAGAGCTGGGTTGGCCCTGGTGTGCCCCAGGCAGCTGGGGGAGAGCTGGGGCTACCTTGGGCAGGCCCTCCCCAGCAGGTTGGGGGGGGACCAGGGCAGCCTGGCCCACCGAGACCCTGCATCCCCAGCCCACTCCTGTCCCCTCCCTCCCTGGCCAGACACCTACACCCAGAGAAAGGGGGGTTGGCGAGTGTAGTGAGCAGGGGGCACAGCCCCCTAGTATTATTTAAAATATCTATTTTCTGTGAAGAAAGTATGAGGAATAATTTGTTAGTGAGGCTGAAAGACTCACTGCTCTACATACCACTTTTCAGCATAAAAATAAACTGCAGATGTTCCAAGGCAGATATATATCATAATACTTAACTTTGGTTTAGAGTTTGCAGATGTTCTGTGTTTCACTAGAGATAAGTCTCAGTGTTAGTGTTGAAAAATAATGCATTCTCCATAACTGCACAGACTAAGCCTTGTGTGTGTTTAATACATTTTGACTTGTAGGCACTTTTGTTGTTTTAAATACAGTACTAGAATAAAAACACACTGCTTGTCTTTTCTCCCCAGAATAAGTATACCAAACTAAGTTAAGTAGGGCTCTTATTGTGGAAGATGTTAAGTACTCATCTCTCATCATAGGTGTTTGAAACTAGTAGTGCTGTAGGTTCTGCTATACCCCTGGCTTGAAGTGGTTTCAGGGTTTATTGTTTGGTTGTGTGGCTCTCCACACTCTCACAATACATTATTTATTCTAGCACCCCTATATTTTGTTTGCAATAGCTGTTGGAAGCATTGAGCACCTCGATGAGTATATCTTCTAGGAGTTTTCCCGCAATGTTGGACCCTTTGTTTTAACTTTTAACAACATAAGTAATCTTGCTGGTTTTCCAGTTAACTTATAGATGATTGCATGGAGCTGAGCTGGGGATGGGGAATCATCCACGTATTACTTCCTGATGAGTTTTAATTTATTTCCAAGAGCAAATAAAACTGTTTTGCCGGTCTGTATTATTGTAATTTCACTTTAATACTTCAGTGTGCTGCTGAGTTTTTTAAACAGCAAGTAATGAGAGAAGTATCTGTGTGCACTTTGTAAAACTCAAATAATGGATGAACTTGGCGCAAGAGTATAAACATGGCATGCAGCTATATTTCCCACAATACACTTCATGGCTGGCACTTGCATGACAGACTGGCTTGTTCCTTTTTTCCTGTAGAACTTGGCGCAAAATGTAGAAAATGTATTTGGATACAATTGGCTGTGGTTTAACTTAAGTTACACTGGTTTGTGTATCGTCTCAGCACAGCTGCAAAGTATTCTGGTTCTTCCACCATGCACTAGTTCTGGTTCTGATTCTTCCACCATGACAGGACCTTGAATGTGTAAGGGAAAGATGAGGCAAAGTCAATTCAGTTTTGGTTTTTCTAAAGGCAAAGATTCTCACTCAGCAACTCCCAAGATTCAACTCACATGACTTTGTCCCCTTTTTTAGCTGTGATTTGGTGCTGTTCTTACATCACCCATCATGATATGTAATGTGAAATTTGCTTTGTAAATGTAACAGAGAGCCACACTTTGCTTGAGAAATTGAGCCTCGTCCATAACCAGTGGGCCCCAGGTTCATTTGAATCTGTATGCATTTACAAAAGAACCCACTGATGAGATTTCAACAGAGCTAAAGCATTATTGGGAGGTATCCTAATAAAATATTAAGTCTCCTGAGATTTTATTTATTTATTTATTTATTTATTTATTTATTTATTTTGCCTAGGAAAGCAGCAACAGATGGAAGCTGAGCACCAGGAGATGTATGTTGAAGCTGATCATGACCTGCACCTAAGAACACGACGTTCAGTACAGCCCCCTGCAGAAAGACCTGGAGAGAGACGAATGGCTGAAATGAAGAAACTCTATGGTGTGGGTGCTGCCAAAATCCAAGCCATGGAAACTGCTATGCAACTTGCCTTTGATAGAAACTGTGATAAAAAACAGCCCAAGTACTGGCCGGTTATCCCTCTTAAACTGTGAGCTGTCTCATCTTCAGTACTAGCAGTCAAGCGCTGCTGCTGTGGGTATCCAATGAAGTTACACAGCTCAATGAATGAATCAGGGATTATTACTTGTACTCTTTCCTCCCTCTCCCCTCCCCCCCTTCAAAGCATACTACTCCTCTTTTTTTAATCTGTCTGCCAGAGTTTTCAGAACTTATAGTCTCTCCACAGGGCAATACTAAATTTCTGATTTGTACTATACAGATAGGGACATTTTACTTCTTTTAAAATATGTTTTCCGTAATTTAACATTGGTCTGTTTTGGCCATGCTTTCAGGAAATGGAACAGCATTTGTTTTCACTTACTGAGCTGGGAAGACTGTTCAGCAACGTAAAAATAAAAGTTATGAAATCTCTGCAAAATCTCCACGTATTATTATTTTAATTTAGTAGCCTTGAGATCAGTTTTAACACAATACAGCTTGAAGTGTTGTGATTTCTGAAGCCTCATCATTAATTTTGGGATCCTGCAGTCAATTGGCTAAGGTACAAAATACTAAATTACCGTAGCACAGCCATTTGAATGCCTTTTGAAAGCTTTATAATAAGGCAGGGATTTTTTTCTTCCAGTCTAAAACTGAGCGGGCAGAATTTCAACCTAAAAGGAAATGTATATGAAAACATTTTTTTTAATTTGTTCACTGTTTGGCATGGTAGCTAAAATGTCTACTTGATTTTCATACATAAAGAAAAGAAAAAATATGCCAATGGAGAGGGTTAGGTTCTGGTACTGTCACCCTATGCTCACTTTGAATACTGCCTCAGTCCACTAATAGTTCAGTTGATTTGCGGACTCACTTTTAGTATGCAATACTCACTATCCATAAGGGTAGTAGAATTGAGTCCTTAGTGTTAAAAATGGGTACTCTGGTATACTTAGTTTGCCCCAAAACAAGTCTACACCCCGTCAAAGTAATGTAAACTTGAAACATTTTTCTGTAGAGTTACACAAAGAATATGATTAAATGGCCTCTCTGCATAATGTACAATATTGTCATGTTCTGTCATAAGCAGTTTCAAAGAAATATTAATGTCTCCACTATCATAAACATGGGTGAGCCATTTTTGGAATAAAGAAAGCTGAGGCTGAAGTTCTAACTCTAATTTGTTCTAGTTCTGTCTTGTTTTTGCCTGTTCAGCCTAGCTTTTGTAGCATGTGTGGTATATAATAGATCACATTAATCTCTGTCCTTTCCTATGTCCAGGGAGACTAGAGCAAATTTCAGATTAAACATTGAATTTCTTTGTTCTTATCGCAGTGTTAAAACTTCAAAACTACTACTTTTTTTCTCATTCTGACTGAACCCCCTTTATTTTAGCATAATGTGAAGCAGTAAGATTGAACTCCTTGAAATTAAAAGTTTCTAAACCCCAAGACCCATTACTGGTGTGATTGAACAAACAAGATTGTACACAGCATAAATAAATACAGGCAGTCCCCGAGTTACACGGATCCGACTTATGTCGGATCCGCAGTTACGAACGGGGCCCTCCCTCTCCCTGGTCTCCAGCAGACCAGGGAGAGGAAGCAAAGCGGCGGAACACGCGGGCAGCGGACAGGGCTGTCCGCTGGCCACGCGCTCCGCGGCTTGGCTCTGCTTTGCTCTGCTTTGCCCCCCCGGCCCCCTGGTCTGCAGACCAGGGGAACGGGGGGGGATGGGGGGGCAAAGCAGAGCAAAGCAGAGCCAAGCCGCGGAGCACGTGGGCAGCGGACAGCCCTGTCCGCTGCCCGCGTGGTCCGCCGCT